TTGCTACGACGCACACCACTGTACATGCATGTCTATGGGCTCTGTGTACGCTGCTGTGGAACGCCGGTTGAGCCGGTGAAAATTCGAGAAAACAACACAAACTCAACTTTGAAGTAATCCTGAACAACCAAATATATATATATGTTACACACGTAGGGCTAATCTTGTTACACTGTTCAGAGGAGTCTCAACAATCATCCTAAAGTACCGTTTTCAGCGAGTTTTTGGCCTTTGTTTTCACCGCCGCGGGTTGCCAGGCGGTGAAAATGCCCGGATGTCCGCCCCCGAGGATAGACATGTTCTAAGCTCAAATTCATGACTCTAGTGGTGACAGTGACAGTGGATCTATTATTTTAGTGTTTGCTTTAGCTATTTCACCATATTTTTTGGAAATAAATCAAAATGTGGAACCTTTAAACAGACTGTTGCATGCTGACCAGAAACATATATATATATTTTAGGCTTTTTTGAGTCGAAAATTTTGTACCAGTGGAGTGTCAGCGACTTTCACAAAATTTTCTCTTTTCCAATACCATCACGTCATGAACATTTCTGGCTCCAAAAATTGAAGCGAGGGAATCGTCACCTATGTATGCTTCAGGTGGCCATAGCGTGTGATTGTTTACAAACAAGCATCTACCCATGAGCCTTTGCGTTCTTAGCGTGTGGTTATCATCGCTTGGGACTCAATTTTTGTGTGTGCACAGGTGATGACCCTCTCGCTTTAAGCAGTTTAAAAGTACTGACAAGTGGTATTATAAATTGAATATTTCCCTTCAAAAACTCACATTTGAACAACTTGATCAATGTGTCATTGAGATTGAGAAATTACCCTTTTGGTAATTTTTAATATAACATTAATAGGATGTGTTTAATAATTAAATATTTAAAGGAACTTTGGTGCAAGAAATTAATAGCATTTTTTAATATGACGTTATATGTATGACGTTTATTACTAGGCTAGCATGGTACACAGTTTGTTAGAAGCGTATGGACTACTGGATCCGATAACAGTGTTACGGTGTAGAAAAGCAACTCAGCATGAGCTTACCTCCTTCCACACAACCGACTACATTGAATATTTACAGAAAATCAATGATGAAGATGACAGTGAAAAAGTCGATGAAATGTCTCAGGAATACGGAATGGGTGAGACTGAATGTATTTAAAATATGCATTATTTCATTAAGGTGCAACCTGGAAAAAACAAGTTAAAAATTATTTATTTATTATACATGTAGGTGTACTGTCTGGCAGTGGATACAACATGTATATCGTATTGACGACTGTCTGTCTGTGCGCCTGTAGGAAGTCGTACAATGTAACTTGAAAACTTGCAGGCTGATTCCTTGAAACTTGCTGTTAGTCATGCTCTTGCACTTTTAGTACAAACACAGTTGTACTAAATTGTATCTGAATTCTCTCTTTCACCGAAAAATAGCAAAAATAAATACCAAGTGAAAATAAAGTATTGTAGAGTAAACAACATCATAAATACTATATTAACAATCAGTTGTAATTGGGTTGTGACATTCACAAACTTTGGGGAAATAATTAAGTTTTAACTGACCAAGCTATTTTTCATTTCTAAGGTTATGATTGTCCATCTATGCCTGGTGTATATGACTTAGTAGGCTGTGTTGCTGGTGCCACCATACAAGCTGCCCAATGTTTACTAGATGGAACAGCTGATGTAGCTATTAATTGGTTCGGGGGATGGCATCATGCAAAAAGGTATGATTGAAATGGTTACCAACTTAGTGTTATCACTAGGAATTAAAAAGGTAGGGCAGAATGGTTCATTTTAGTAAGCATGAGACAATTACCCATACATGTAAAACCTGAAACGAGAAATGAAGTACATTTGTATTGTGTTTGTTTTATTGTGGAGATAGTGTTCTGAAATGTATGTTAATAACTGTTTTAATTAAAATAACTCAAATTCAAGATTACATGTAAATGTCATGTTCGTTATACTTTCATTGAATTACGATTTCATACATGTACTATTAGGATGACAAAAATGAAAACAAAAAATCTTGGTCACCAGATTTTCTGAGATACAAGAGTCCCAAATGTCATGGAAAATGATCAAAATTAGCATTGTAGTT